ACTCAAGTGGTCTTTGTGCTTTTTGCTATCTCTGCAAATTGCTCCAAACTGTTCTTGATCAATCCTTGCATTAGAGGTTGAAGCGCCTGAAGAAAACCAAAAGACCAATTGTTTAAAAGAATATATGATTTTGAGACACTTAGTAGTTTTGATTAGACTCTCTAAATCGTCGAATGTTGATACGATTTACGGGTTGAATAAAGAATGCTTACTGCTGCAAATGGTATAAGTAGCAATGGCACTTCATATGCAAAGGTTAGCTGCAAACGAAAGCAAAGAAGTAACTCAAACAAGATTAGATTAGATTGGTGAAAATTCCTTATTGTTTCTTTATCGATGGAACTAGAAAACCGAATGATATATCAACAATGGAAACTCACTTCTACTTCACACGATGAAGGTCCTAGAGGGAAAAACCGAACAGTGCCCCTGTAAAAAAGAGCAAGACTTTATTCACATTGAAGCTTGATTCAAAAGATGAAGTTTCAGACTCATTGATTCATTTTCAGTTCTGTTACCTATTAGGAAGTCCTTCAAGAGAAATCCAGTGTATTTTCTGGTTCGGGAGAGGCTGCAAGAAACAGAATCTAGAAAACAATTACGCGAAATCCAAACAAAGCGCATCAAAACCGTTTCAACATTTTTTCTCGAGACCAAGGCACAAAAACCATATTGCTGTGTGTTTGAGCTACTTTAGAACAGCTTCTAATACTTGCCTGCAAGTTCTTGGCAAGCCAAGAGTACTCAAGATTCTGACCAAACGCTTTATATTTCAAAGTCCATCGAGATAAATCGGGTTTGTCCTTGAGTATCTGCAGAACAAAACTAAATCAACAGCAAACAAATCCGTGGCATTTTGATGTTGAGTAGAAACTTAAAAAGCTATATATATGAACAAACAAAGTCATTACCTTTACGGATGAAATGAAACTCATCCATGTAGGAATTGATTCTCGATCGGAATAGAGTTCATAAGCAAGTGCTACAGGCACTTCGACCATCATCTTTACCCTGAAAAATTCACCACAGAGAAAGGTTCAAACAGTTACATAGAACCTCCATGATTCTGGAAACCAAATTTCTTAACCCGATCTATACAAACACTTCAAAGTTATCCTTTAAGGACAAAGAGAAAACTCATTGCTTGAAAATCTGATGATGAACTAACAACACCTAGAATGACAATATGATACCAAAAAACCAGCATTGTGAAGAATCAGTAGTTATAATGGTCTAAAGTATCGAACTTGACTATATTTAAAGCTACCATTGATGAAAGTATCGAACTTGAATCTCCAGAGCAATCATATAAGTAAATAAAAAAAACTCAAAGTAGAGTTCATAAGCAAATTTTCGTGAAATATTCGAGGCAAAATATTCTTAATTCTTACACTATAACCAAATTACTAAAAAGGGTCAACAAAATTCCTCAAGCCAGCGAGAGAGATTAGAGAGTGTGAAGAATCGCTTACTTGCATTCTTGCCACTCCATGAGAGTATCAAATCTCCGGAAAGTTGAAGTTTTTAAGGATCTAATTGGTGAAATCAAAGGAGAGAATCTAGAAGCAAGAGGCAAATGCTTCATCAGCGAAGAAGACGACAAAAATCTCGAACTGGGTTTAGCTAAACGGAATGTCCGATTATCAACTCCGGTGAATACAGCATTAAAAGAGAGAATCGCCGTCGAATACA